AGCTTCACGTCGAGAGGCGAGGGCTTTAAGGGCTTAGGTTTAGGGTTTAGGGTTTAAGGTTTAGGGTTTAGGGTTTAGGGTCTAGGGTATTTCTGCCCCAAGACATTCCTAAACCCGAACGTCCTGCGCATAAACCGTCAAGGGCGTAGGGTGTAGGGCCAGGGAGTGAGGGAGTACGGCAATGCAAGGTTTAGTCCATCCCATGTCTTGCGTGCACTTGCTCTCTACAAAATACAGTTAACCCGAGCCAATGGACCCCTACAGCCATGCACCCAAAACGGAAGCACACGTGCCAAAAACCTCAACCCTAAACCCTAAACCCTAGACCCTCAAACCTCAACCCTAAACCCTAAACTAAACCCTAGACCGAGGATTTTGAGATTTTGGGGTTCAGGGGCTTGAACAATGTTGGTCTACAGAGGCTTCGGGCGCGTGGATTGGGCCGACTTGCCCAAACCCAAACCCCTGAACCTCTAAACCCTAAACCCTAAACCCTAAACCCTAAACCCCTAAACCCCTAAACCCCTAAACCCTAAACCCTGAACCGTTTAACAGTACTGAAACCCTCAACTCTCCACACCCCGGGGCTCTGGCTATCTGGCGTGCTCGGTGCAATGCTTATGACATCGCTGCCACTACGCTCGCTCCGCTCGCTCCTGGGGGCAATGGGTGGGACGAGGCATTCCGAAAGACCGCTTTTGTAGGGTTTAGGCTTTGGGGTTTCGGGGGTTTCGAGGGTTTAGGGGGTTTAGGGTGTAGGGTTTAGGGTTTCGGGTTTAGGGTTTAGGGTTTGGGCTTATGGTGGCCCTGATTACCGAGTTAACAGTACGGGTTTTCGCGGTCAATGTAGCGGGACTAGGTCTGCGGGAGCGGGTTTCCAGTGCATGCTAGCAGGCTCTTCCTTCCGTCTTGACCACAAATTAAGAAGGCTGTTTGGCAAACTAACCTAAACCCTAAACCCTAAACCCCAAACCCTAAACCGTAGTCTACCCTAAACTCGGAACCTAAACCCCTAAGAGAAGGCATCAGGTGGAACTGAAAGAAGGCAAAGACCTCAGGACGAATCCATTCTCAAGGGCGTAGCTTCATAGGGTTCAGGGTTCAGGGTTTAGGGTAGTTTAGGGTGTAGGGTTTAGGGTTCAGGGTTTAGGGTTTAGGGTTTAGCGTTCGGGGTCAGGGCTTTAGGGGTTCGGGTCTATAGTAGCTTCGTTGACATCAGAGCGTAGAAGAAGATCGCCGCAAGATTCGCAAAGTCGCAATCGGATGCATTGCATGTAAATGTAGTCGGCCATTGCCAGGCACAGCAAAATCTGTGCTGAGAAGATCACACATGTCCAGTGGAAGAAACCCGTTCGGGCTTTCTCTGGCCTCCCAAACTCTCTGCGGGGTGCTGTGGTTTGACGAATAATGCAGCTCATCGGGGCTATGTCACCTGGGCATCATCGCCCATCAGCATCTTGACTTCTATGCATGAAGGTTCGGGTTGTCCGTGCTACTCCGTAAACCCCCCCGAACCCCGACGCCTTCTACCCTTAAGCTTCAAACCCTGAATGCGCATAACCCACGAAATCAGAAAACTCCACACACCCCTTTAACCCTAACCCCTAAGCTACCCTGAACAAAAACCCTAAACCCTAAACCCTTAAAGGGAACCCTTGAAGGAGTCCAACACTTTACGCTGGTTCTACAATGCTTCTAGCACGAATTTAGCAAACCTTGCAAAAGCCAAGAAAAACACGATAACGATCATAAACCTTGACTGCAAAAGACTGAAACAACCTTAAAGCTCCTATTTTCAAAGCCCCAAAACCTACCCAGAAGTCCCCTAAAGCCCAAACCGAAACCCAAAGCTCTAAGCCCTAAACCCTAAGCCCTAAGCCCTAAACCCTAAACCCTAAACCCGAAGCTCTAAACCCTATACCCTAAACCTTAAACCCTAAACCCTACCCCGAAGCCCGCGGCCTGGGGCTATCTGGTATTGGTATAGCCGGGCTGGTACCATCTTGGCTCTCTTTCTCGAAGGACCGCGTCGTAGGACTGCCTGCAACGAATCTAGGGGTCTTAACTGACGGTTTAGGGGTTTAGAGTTTAGGGTTTAGGGTTTAGGACTGCCTGCAACGAATGTAGGGGTCTTAACAATTAGAATAGAGTTTTGGGCCCAATATTACTTGTTATTTTCTGGAACCCCCAAAATAGTATCGGTAATGATTTAGGCCCCTACATTAGGCCGTAAAGTCCGAACTGTCAGTGACAGGGTCCCGCCGGGAGATGCTAGGGACTCTGGAAATTTGAGCTACAGCCGCGACGCCGAAGCGCTATACGGTTTTGGCTTTAGGGCTGATTACAAAACAGTTGATTAACAATTGGTTACTACTAATTCGAGAGGCTATTACGAGGGGGAAAGTTCGGGCCGGGAACGCATGTATTATTTGCTGTGAAGGTCAAGTCAGAACCCTTCAAACTCGAATCGACGTACGTCGGCTATGTGACAAGCTTTAGTGTATATTGGGATATTGGGGTGGCCACCTCATCAAGACACCCACCAATCGCCAAGGGCCCGGCCCATGGAACGGAATCGTCGGAAGAGAGGCCTTGCAAGATTGCAAAGGGTACCTTGAAATGAGGCCTTGATATCGAACTCCAATGCCCGGATTCATCTGCTACTACACAGTCCAGAGTCCAGGCTACGTGAGGATATCCGCGACCCCAAACCCTGCAGTTGTTCGACATTGAGCCCAGGAAGGATCCAAGCTCAAAGGCATCACGCTTTGGATGAGGACTGCTGTGCTCACTAGTATCGCTATCTGAATTTCATCCTGTTTATGGGTATCATTCAGCACCCACTGTTGGCAGGACTTCTGCTGCAAGCTTCTTCCTACTAAGGCTACTGTCCGCCGTTTGATATAGGTAGAAAGCCTACAGGTTTCATGCCGTGGCCGAGCGCATCGTCAGTCTTGATTTTGTGCAACGAAAGTGTCAGGATGAGCAGCATGCTCCCGACCAGAACTCGCTATCACCAGCAGCGGTGCTACTGCTGTTCCTCCTCCGCCCCCTCCTCCTCGTCCTCCTCCTGGTCCTCCTCCTCGTCGTCGTCCTCCTCCTTGCTTCAAAACCATGATGCACGCAGCGCCGAGGAAATGGCACGTTTCGTGCTGCAGATTTCCGAGAAGCCCGTTGCAGTTGCGAGAGATATTCTGCTGCCTCCGTATTTCGTTCCAGCAACAACAAATGAATGTGGTATCTCACTCAGGTGCACGCGGAGCGGTTCTCCACCATGGCCAGGTTGGTCACCTGGGAAGCCTCCATGCACACGGGTTGAGAGTGGGTTTTGTAGACTCAGGGCTCTAGTGTGTTTGTTTGTTTGTTGTTTGTTTGTTTGCTTGCTTGCTTGCTTGCTTGCTTGCTTGTGTGTGTGTGTGTGTCTGTCTCTCTGCGCGGTTATGCGAGCAGACCCGTTCTAGCATTGCAAGTTGCGGTGACGAACGTGGTCCGTCGACAGCTCGTGGCTTCGGTAGTGTAGGGTGCTGGATGACTAGGACAGGAGCCCAAAGGAAAACTTTTGGAAATTACTCCTAGTAACCAAGTTCACAACTGCATGGCACTGCTAGAACGAAGCCAAAGCCTCTAAGCTCACACTAGCAGCAAAGAACAGGGTGATCCGTATGCAGGACCTTTGGCAAGGTAGGAGGAATGATTAGTTGAGACTAGAGCCAGCTCCTAGCACGAGTGAAACTCCAAGTCTATGGATTTTGACAACAGATGCCGTTTGCCCACATCATCTTTTGAAATAAGCCGAGACGGTTCTTCAAACGCACCGTATGCTACCTGTACCGTCCTTTGTACAATGCCCGCTTACATCCAACAAAAGAAGTCAAGCATCACCGAATGAAGTGGAAAGGTGGATAGATGGTATGTCAGCAGTTCTTCAACGTGCAACTTCCTGTACTGGCGGATTGGACTTAGATCCAGCTATGCTGCTGTTAAACACTCGCGAGACTTCGAGCTCACAAGAACTTCTGGCTAGATGCTTTGGTGACCGGACGCGGCACAGCTGAAACACCGCCAAAGCAACGCTCGACGGCGTAGTGGACTGCATCCTCTTGCCGCTTGTCCTGCGACTCATTGTAATGTCGAGGTCTTAATAGTCAGAATAGGGTTTTGGGGGCTCCTTACTATAATTCTAGTATAATTTAACCCAATTTGGGGGGCTCCTTATTATAAAACTAGTATAGTATACACCAAACCCTATTCTAATTATTAAGGCCCCCTATGCAGGGTGGCCCGGGTCGGGGCCCGAAATCTAAACGGACCTGAACCGGGCGAGTGCACGGAAGTGGGTCTTTGGTTGCTCAAAGCCTTCGATTCGTCAGTCTCCGCGCTAGAGTTTTAGGGTTTAGGGTTTAGCTTCTTACACCACAGCATGCTCACCTACATGTAGAACTCTCTTCCCCAACTGCTGGCGAAAGAAGAAGTCCTGGGCAAAACCCAAAGCCACCGGCAGCAGCGGGACCAGTTTGTTGTTGCTGAACTTGTGCCTGAGAAATTAGAGCTAGCCTTGTGTCATCTTCAGTCGAGGAAGCCGTTGGTGCGCGGTCCACTGGCAGGACCCTGTTCAGTTTCTACTGCTGGGAGCAAAATGGCACGCCGGTCAGCCTCAGACTGCATTTAAAGGGGGTTTAGGGCTTAGGGTAAACCCCAAGCCCCGAAGCCTGAACCCGAAACAGTTTAGGGTTTAGGGTAAATCCCAGAATCCCGAAGCCTGAACCCGAAACACCTGCTGCCCAGGCTTCAAAAGCCTGATCCGAAGGGACTGCTCCACTCTGGCACCCAAAGGATCATGGGACTTCGTAACTGGGGCTATCAAAGAGGTAACTACAGATGCAAACACTTCTAACCTCCATTCAAGGTATGTATAACCTTACTTGCTAAGTCGCTGGATCCTGCAAGTATAGTAAAGCTTTGGGATGTCCCTGAACATGAATTTCGTAAGTTTCACGCACCTTGACACGTCCGCCAAATTCAGAAACACAGGCTGCTGGTTGTCCGGTGCCTGGTGCAGGCGACGCTTTCTTCTTCTTGGCCCACCCTGTCTATTCAGGTTTAGGGTTTAGGGTTTAGGGTTCAGTTAATCCCAAAATCCTGTGCATACCTACACATACGGTCGATGATCGATGATACAAACCCTGCATTACCTGGTAATGCAGGATTTAGATCATCAACAGCATCTCCATGATAGCAGGACTTTCTGAACTGCACGATTCTTGGAAGGCTGCCTTGTGAAATTCCTTCTAGGCATTTCACGGTTTCTTGGCCCAGAGTGGAGCGAGCTTTGTAAAGAATTACAAAAAGACTTGGAGGAACCCGCAGATACCCTAAACCCAATGCGTTGAATGTCCAAAGACTAGGTGCGTCGAAGTCATTGAAAAAGTCGACAGGCAAGAGCAGCAGATGCAAAATGCAAGCAAAGTGTGAAGACCTGAGAGAGTCAGAGAGACGGCAACAGCTACACTCCGTCAACGGTGTTGTAAATGATCTTATTACATATTATGCCAGGTTATATTATATCATGACATATTGCAGTAATCTGTTCTGTCTATTGATTCTATTCTGGTGTCGTATAATTGGAGAGAGAGAGAGAGAAAAAAAAANNGAGAGAGAGAGAGAGAAGCACACCATGTGAAAACGGACCAGCCGGAGAAACTGAGGACAAGGCAAACCGTATACACAATATAACATATAGCGACGTCAATAATTATGATATACAAGGCTTTGGTGACCCCTTATGCATAGTTATACACGGACCATAAGGGGATATTGATTGAACTTATTCCGACCCCCTATATTACAAGGCACTCGAGGCGTCGAGAGACAGGAGCAGCTGTGTGTGCGGCAGACACGAACTGCGCTGTCGGGCCGAGAGAATTGAATTTGGGACACGGGGAGTCGCGAGCCAGCCGAGAATTTGAGAGAGGTTAGCCGCTGTTTGCTCTGGAGAGCAAAGATGTCGGCAAGAGGAGCAAGTCTTGCGAAAGGAAACGAAAGGCTGAGAGAGAGCGGAGATGAGAGGAGCATCCCACCTGACAGGGGTAGCGACAGCGAGAAAGAAGAGTAACTCCTGCGAAATGGACTGTACGAGGGACAAGGCGGCCCACTGGGCTTTTGAGAACACGCGCCGCCAGAGGGACTAAAGTCGAAAGAGCTCGGGCCAATCGAAGTCGAGGGTGACCGATGGCTCCAGGAGTTTACAAGATCAGAGGAGTTGGATTAGGGGAACCCTTGGGTATATAGACCCTCTAAATAAGGTGCCTTTTAACCCTAAGACTACCCACAAGAACAGTCACACCAAAGTGAACTCAACGAGAAGAGTGGAGGTCGAAGCGCTTGGGGTCTTGTTTGAGAGGAGGAAACGGCTGCAACGGCGGGCCGGAATGGGGTACTTTATAGTATCAACATAATAAGTATGTTACGTAAATTTACTCCGACCCCTTTCGCACAAGTTTGCGGCTCAACGCAGGATTGAGGGTGTAGGGGGAAAGTACCGAGTAGAGTTTCTCGTCTCTCCAAAAAGCCTCAACTCGGAATCTTATGAACAAGACCAATCCTCCTTCCCAGTCCTAGGCCGTAAAACCCCAATCCAAACCCTCAAACCCGAAACCATAAACACCCCCAAACCCCCAAACAACCCCAAATGCTCCCCCCAAACCCTACACCCTCAACCCCAAACCCCCAAACAACCCCAGATGCTCCCTTTTTGTCATGGGAGTACCTCCTTCTTTAGCCGCTCGAGGAGCTGCTCGGCGACCTTCCAACCCGCAAAGCCCAAGGGTCTTGCCAGTAAGATAGGGCCCGCCTTAATAATTTCAATAGGGTTTTGGGGCCGATTCTAGTATAATCATAATAGGGAGGCCCCCAAAATAGTATTGGTATTATTTAGGCTCCTACAGAACGTGTAATGTCGTTTAGGGTCTGGGCTTCAGGGTTTAACGGTTTAGGGCTTCCGGACTTTCGGCGTTATAAGGTCTGGCTTCAGGGTTGTAGAGTTTTAGCGGTATGGGGTTATCTGCTTACATGTCAAGCTGCGTAAATAAAAAATGTGAGCATATCTAGTCTAGTTATTATGTAGTCGCATGTCATGCATGTGGATGCATGTTTCTACATAGATGTATGTGTCTTATCACAAATCATTACTCAAGTCTTGGTCGGCTGTATTGATGCAGTCCGACATGTCTCAACTCTTACTTGCCCCAAGCCCTACACCCTGAACAGTAACCTTACTAGGGTTCGCATCCTGAGCTGAGGTTTTGGTGGCTTTCGAACCCTAGACTACAGACCATGCACGGGTTTGGGGTTCAGGGCTTAATGTAGGGGCCTTAATAACTAGAATAGGGCTTTGGGCCCTTTATACTATACTCATAATAAGGAGCCCTCTGGAATAGCGCTGGACTTACAAGGTTTTGGGCCCCTTATACTATACTCATACTAAGGAGCCCTGAGCAATAGCTTTGGTACTTACTTAAGACTTCTATATCTTACTTCCCCAATAAGCCAGGGAAACAAAAAG